TTTGATGCGCTGGTGTTTTTCTTTGGTGCTTATTTCATGTTTGAAAACACAGTCGTGACCAGCGGTGGACAGATGTTCGGGAACTGGACCTTCGGGACACTGGTATTCACGGTCATGGTGTTCACCGTCACGCTGAAGCTGGCTCTGGACACACACTACTGGACTTGGATCAACCACTTTGTCATCTGGGGGTCGCTGCTGTTCTACATTGTCTTTTCCCTGCTCTGGGGAGGGATCATCTGGTAAGAGCTGATGAACGTATTGACGCACTATGGGCCATGCCACGTCTCCCCAGGCTCAGTGCGTGAGTCCCCTTCACCTCCTGCACTGCCGTGGGCCTGCCTGCATCCAGGTGTCCAGTACACATTCTGCTGCTGTAACAGGATACCTGAGGCTGAGTGACTTACAAACCATGGAGGTTGTCTGGGCTTGTGGCCCTGGAGACTGGAAGTCCCTGAGCTTATGCTGGACTCTGGCAAGGGTCTTGTGACACTGGAATCCTCACAAGGCAAGACAGGGCGAGCATGCCCACTGGACTGTCCTCTCATAAAGCAACTGATGCCACCATGAGGTGCCCTGCTCGTGTCCTGACCACCTCCCCAGGCCCTGCTGCCACAGCCCYTTTCGGGAGTGGCGTTGAGACTCCACATGAGCCCTGGGGACACGTTGAACCCGGGCCCTGGCGTGCAGAAGGACAGCACACTGCACACTCTGGTGGCAGGATACGCAGACCTGGCGAGTGAGTCGTGGGGCTGTGACAGGCTCTGTGGGGACAGGCCAGCGCTGCAGCAGGCAGGGCCCTGTTGTGCCCTGGAGGGCAGAGGTGACTTCCCCATGCAGTTGTGACCTACCCTGAGCCCAGAAGAGTGCACACCGCCACACGGCCTCGCTCAGGGACTGCTCAACACAAGAGGCTGTGTGCAAGCCCCACCACGTCACACRCTGTGCACACCAGTGACCGGCAGCTCCTGTTGCCCCAGGGAAGTCAGGGAGTTGGGGTCCAGATCCCCGGCTGCCGGGGGAGGGAGTGTCACTGCAGCTGAGGCGGCCGCAGGGGTGTGAGCACGTAGAGGGGTCAGCCGCAGCAGCAGGGAAGCATGGCCACTCTGCGCAGCCCCTCCCCTGGGCAGCTGGCCTCGCTGGGAGGCCAAGAGCCCCCTGGTCCACATCTGCTGCCCAGGAGCYGCCATCTCTGTCCCAGCCCCTCCTTCCTGGCAGCACAGGCTCCTGATCCAGTGGCGGAGGGAGCAGTGGGCTAGGGAGGGTCTCCAGCAGCCGGCCAGAGTTCGACAGGCCTCGGGTGGGGGAAGAGGGTGCCTCCGCTGGAGTGCGCCTGAAACCGGGTTCTGCTCCCACATCACTCACTTCCTGCCCTTTGGCACAGGCCCTGCCCACCCCGGCCTTTGCAGCAGCTTCTGTGCCCTAGGACTCCACTCTGTTCCCTGTCACCTGCAGCACTGCCACCTGAGGTGCCCATCGGCTTTAGCCGGAGGTGGGCTCTGCCTCTCCCTTTCCCGCTCGCGGCACCTGCACCACGGAGCAGGACACACAGACCACCTGAAAGCAGGGCCCTGGTCACGGCGGGCTGGCCAATGGGTGCTCAGTTTCCTATACTCCACCTGCAGACGCCCAGGGTCACCTGACATCTAGTTTCTCCCGTGCTGAGTCTTGTGGCAGGAGTTCTTGCTGGTCAGGGCTGCCCCACCTCTGTGGGGAGGGGCAGGCTGTGTCCAGGCCCAGGGGTCGCCACTCGGCTCTTGTTTCTTCTGCTGTCCTGAAGCTGAACTTCAGGGGCTTCTGGCCCCCTCTAGGATGGCCCTCCCTCCCGCCAGGACCCTGTGCTGTGGAAGGTCCTGCCCTATTTGCTCTCGCGTGAGCACTCCAGAGCCGGCAGCTGGTGCCCTGCCCAGTGCTGTCCGCAGCAGGAGCAGGACTCTCCAGAGCAAACGAGCTCCTCATCAGACATGGGAAGCCGCTGGGACCCATGTCCCTCCCAGAGGGCTGACCACCCTGGCTGTGTCCCCTGCCTGCAGGCCGTTCCTCAGTTATCAGAGGATGTACTACGTGTTCATGCACATGCTGTCCAGTGGGCCCGCCTGGCTGGGCATCATCCTGCTCATCACCGTCAGCCTCCTCCCGGATGTCCTCAAGAAAGTCCTGTGCAGGCAGCTGTGGCCGACAGCGACGGAAAGGACCCAGGTACAGAGCCCACCCCGGCCGGTATGCCACCCTAGCCTTATGATTGGGAAGCGTTAGTAGCAGGATTGTTCAGAGATCAATCAGCTTCATAATGATGCATGATTTCAAACTTTAAATTAGGAAAAATTCAAGATGATCAATGTATAATCTGATGATTTGACCTAAACAATCAGCTGAGAGAAGAAAGAGAACAAAGATTAGTAGAAAAGATAAAATATCTTCTGTAAATCCACAGAAATTTGAATTTAATCATTACTTTAGAGGTTAGATTATATTTTTAAGGTGGATTTGGCTCAACATGTTGACSTTGTATGAAGGATTGCTGGGTGTTGGGCTACCTTTTCTCCACACTCTCAAACTGGCCGACACGCAGAATTGTGGGTTCAGAAAGGAAGCTGAGCTCAGGACTCAGCCTCTGTCCCCCTCCAGAGTAACCTCAGCACTGGCCTCTGCCCGGGGACTGCGGGAGGTGGGAGGCCCCAAGCCCCATACCTGTGCAGCCTCTCCAGGACCCTGGCCATCAGTGAGGGCAGAAGGTGACCCCTCAGTTAGGGGCCAGCTGGGTCACAGTCCCTTTGGGAGGTCATTAAAAATACAGATTTTCAAGTTACCTCCCTGTAAYTTTCTCACCTCTGTGAGGTGGGCCCTGGGACAGGCTCCCCCGGACCCCCAATGATTCTTGTGCCCGTGGTAGGGCAGGACAGCTCCTTGGGGGGAGCAGAGCTCATGGCACAGAGCAGGTGCACAACAGAGGAACGCGCCTGCGGCCTGGCCCGCGGTCCCCCACAGCCCTCCACGGCCCAGATGCCCACCCCCAGGGGTGCCAGCAGCCCTATTTGGGATGGGAAATAGGCCAGCCCTGCCCACCTCGGAGCCCAGCAGTTGAAGGGGCCCTGATTGTGAACCTTCCCAGGACTCTGCTATCTTAACACGTTGAGACCAATGCCACCAGCCCAGGCCTCCCTCCTCTGTGCCTCCTGCCGCCCTGGGTGACGTCAGTGCCTACAGCCATGACAGGGGCCATGTAGGTCTGTGGCCTATCAGTGAGGATGTAGGGAGGGCCACTCCAGGACCTGGAGGGGCTTGGGGTCCAGCTCACACGCACAGGCTGTGGTGTCACCTCAGTATCTCCGAGACAAAGCCACCTCCAACACCAGAGCACAGGGCCTGGACCCTCCTGCTCATGGGAGGAGAAGCACAGTGGCTGTCCACCCTGAGGCCATGTGTCCTCCCGGAGGCACTGCCTTGGATGGGAGCCGAGCTCAGGTCTCGAGCAGTGGTGTTCTGAGACACACACGTCCCTGATGGTCCCACGCAGGGGCACGTGTGCTCGTGACGACACCCCGCACATAGCGTGTGGTGGACACACATGTCCATGCACAGGGGAAACAGCAGATGCAGGCTGACCACGAGAGCAGGCTCCAGTCAGAGTCCTCTGGGTACCCAGCTATGCCGCCGCCTGGCCCGCAGGTGCTGGCGGACATTGAGGTGCTTGGCTGGACGCACTTAGACGGGCAGAGTTGGCAGGCGCCCCTGCTGGAGGGCCTTCCCACCTCCTCAGCCAGCAGTGGCAGGGCTGCAGTGGCCTCTTGGCCCCTGAGGAGCACCCAACTGAAAGCAGGCTGAACCAGGCTCAGGAGGCGCGAGGCAGGAGGCGCGGGCGTCGGCCGGCCCTGCAGCTCAGGTCGGCTGCTGGGCCGAGCGTAGGGGACTCGTGTGCTGTAACCAACTCACTGCTCTCTTGTCTCTCCTTCCCTCACCCTCCCTTCTCTGCCTGCTTTGCCTCCATAACCACTCCCTGTCCAAACCTTTCCTGCGTGTGGGCTCCGGACCGCGGGACGGGCAGGCTAGGAACCAGTGCCTTTCTGTTGAGCAGCCCACCGTCTTTATGCTTTCCCAGACCTCCAGCGGTCTGAGTTTCTGACCAACAGGTGACCTTCTCTGCCTTTTGCATGCTTGGGATCATGGCCACAGGACGAGGGGTGAATTTGGTGTCAAGGCCAGCCTGCACGTTAGGGAGCACGGTGACTTGCTGACCGTGAGCTGTGTCTCCCCCCAGCACCACCCGCTGGCCTCCCGGGGTCCTTCGCAGGGGCAGGGTCCACGCTTGTTATCAGATACAGCCACTCGGCAYCAGCCACCCAGACGCTCCTCAGACTGTCTCAGCATGGCCCCTGGGGGATGGACAGAAGACCTCCTCCCACACAGCTGTGGGGAAACTGAGGAAGGCAGAGGAGCGGTTTGCTCAGGGCCCCCCAGRGTCCAGGGCACAGCCGTGCTGATGCTGGACGT